GTTTGTTTATGTATGTTTTGTGTTTGTTGTAAAGAATAAAAAATTTTATTAAAAAAAAAAGCATACATAAGAAAAGCAGGGCCAATGTTTAATACTAGGTTAGCAGAATATTGGAATGCACTGAGAAATCAAACCACACACATGCAGACTGCTGAATTCATAAAGTGCTGCTGCAGACCATACTGAGAAAACATGAAAATCATAGCCTTTGAAGCCATTAATGCAAAAGGAAGCAATCAAAATGGAAATAGCTGGACCAAAAAACTTTGGAGAAAACCTGGAAGGACACAGAACAAAGGACCAATCATGTGACCCATCTATAGTTAACTGATCATTGTTTGTACTTATCTGATGATAATTAGTTTATTTTCAAAATGTATTTTTGCATATTATTTACACTTAAGCTGAACATGAAAATGGATTTTTATATGAACTTCTGGTTGAATGCTCTAGTGAGCTAAACATCTCTTTTTGCAGCGAGACAGTGGGATTTAGGATCCTGGCTGCTGAAATGCTCTCCAGAATAAGGAGAGATCTTTGAGATAGCCCATGTGACTGCACAGCCGCTCCTCATGAGCAAACTGCAGGAATTGTTTGCCTATCAGTCAAGTGGCTGAGAATTAAGGGAGGAACTATCTTTGCTCAGTTGTTAACACAGGCTTTTGAAGGACAATAAGCTCAACAGAACCTCACTTCTTAACCACTTTGGATTTTTTTTTTCTGCTGCCTTAAAAAGATTAAGACCCTTTGGAACAGTAAGTTATATTGTATTTGCTAGGTGAGTTGCCTTCTCCTTAGAAAAACAACTTTTAAATATGATTTTTAAAACCTTTTGAAAAATACTACTTTTTGGATTAAACAGCAAAAGGGTGCTCAGAATATGGACTATAATAGAAAGTTTACCAACAGATTAAGGGCTCAGATGGACTTGGAATTATAATTTTAAATGTCCACAAAGAATTCTGAATTAATTAGAAGCAATTTTATCATGGGAAAAATTGCAATTGTTTTGAGTTTTTTCATGATAAGGGGACCTTGAAGGTTGGACACTAGAGGGAGGTAGAGGATAAAGAAAATGGAGCAGAAATCTATAACACAAATTTGGGAATATTTGCCTGCCAAGCTTGACAAAAATAGATAAATTTCTTGACAAGAATGGCAAAGCATGTTGTAAAGAAATTACAGAACAAGAACAAGTTACAATGGATGATTTTGAAATTACTTTGAAGGGGGACTTAAATATAACAAGTAATGAGAATCATATGGAGAAAGATATGAGCACGCAAATGGAACTGATGGATGACTTATTCCCAGAAGGAGATATACAAATATTGAACCAGGATACTAACTTGGATTTTTTTTTTTACTAGATAGACAAAATAGCTCTGTTAAGGTTTTGAAGGACTTTATTAGAAGTGACAGACAAAAGGACAAACTTTACTTATTGGATATACAAATAAATCTGCTAAAGTTCTGAAAGCTTTTTGGCTTGAAACACAGATGAACAGAAAACTAGCTCTGGGACTCTTTTTGAAGGGGTTAAAAGATATTTTTAAAAACTCAGGAAAGGAATACAAGGTTGGCTTATTTGACCCGGGCTAAAGGAAAAAAATTGTTACATCTGGTTGCTCTTACTGGACTTCTGCTGATAAAGAAGGACCGATGAAGCATTTGGATTTTTGTTTTTTATTTTATTCAATAGATGAGATATGGGGTGAAGAGAGATTATGTTGTATTTAGAGATAGTGATAAGCTATTGTCTTTACTTATTGGGATGAAGGGGGGAGTTACTTCTCTTTTTTTCTTGTTTTTTATTTTCCTTTTTTCACACTTTTTTTCTTTTGTATTTTTCTGTTTGCATTTTTTGTAGTCTGTATTGGCTTTTATTCTTTTCATTTATAATTCTTAACAAAATTATTTGAAAAAAATGGATTTTTATGTGACTGAAAATGGTCGTAAATTCAAATACAGTCATTATTCTTCAAATCATTTCCCCAAGATACACCTACATGAAATTACTGAATACGTTTATCATTTGTTTTGGATTTAATTGAGACTATGGCTCAGGATGCAGTCCACACTTACCTGGGAGTAAATGCCACTGAACTAATATATTTTGAATACATATGAGTAAGATTGTAAATATTCTTCTTTACTTACCGTGCAATCACCAGTTAACTGCTGCTGTGAAAACAAGCTGCAATCTTGTATAAATTAAGGGCTGCATAATATGATCACACGCCTTGTCTTGTGGATTTCATTATAATTTTGACTGTACTTTTTACCATTTTTCTTTTCTAGGCCTATGTCATGTAGGTCCTTATTTCATTTTATTTAAAAAAATAATTTTTACTCTTGTGAGCTCAAAGTGGCCAACAGTAAGATTATCTATTTAAAATGAAAATAATTTTTACAATTCAAAACATAATCCTGTAGGACCATATAACTCATTCTTGCTTTTCCAAAACCATATTGGTGATGATGACTGACAATAGTTCATGACAAAAGAAGGAGGAATTACAGGTGGTCCTTGACTTATGATGGCAATTGGGACTGGAATTTCCATTGCTAAGCAATGCGGTCATAAAGTGCAACCACATTGCTTAGTGATGGAAATTCTGGTCCCAATTGTTGTTGTTAGCTGAATCCCATGGTTGTTAGGCAAGGCAACTTCCTGCCGGCTTCCTACAACCAAAGTCATTG